ATTTTTAACCTAATGTGTTATAGTAACACTACTGCTTCTTGCCAAAAACCTCCTCTTTCTACCTCAATATATATATATGTATATATATATATACATATATATATATATAGGAAGTCTGCAAGTCGATTTTCGCGTGGAACAGTGCTCAATACGTTGAACCTGAAGAATAAGCGATTCACGAAAAGGCTTGTCGCAACTACATTTCCCGACAAGTCCTTTCCTCTCATAATATTTATTCTGCTCTTCTTCAACGTATTGAGCACTGTTCCACGCGAAAATCGACTTGCAGACTTCCTATATATATATATATATATATATATATATATATATATATATATATATGCTTATTTCTTTTCCTATTTTTTTTAATTCTAGAACGGAAAGAAGAAGAAGAGCCTTCAGCTGATAGCGAGAATTACCTTTAGATTGGTGGAAATTACGCAATCAGATTTTGTACAGTGTGTGTAATTCTAACCAAAGATTGATAGAAATCGAATTGACCAGATAATTACCCCGTTTCCAGGCGTTCACGGAGTAAAACGAAGCGCGATATTAAACGGCTCGATAGTAGCTAACCCCTATGCTTCCCTCGTTTGTCGCTATTATTATTATTATTATGATATAATATAGTAATATATTACTAATTTACCGCTACTGTCGCACCGTTAATTTCGTACCCAGATTCCACAGTATAACTAAACAACCGTGTGGCCATGAAAGGTCTGGGTAGGAGTTTATTGCGCTGTTTGCTATTTCGCTCAGATTTCGCACCGTTTTACTTGCTGAACGCCTGACACTGGTTACTAGATAACATATTGGTTGTTTTCTTTTCTTAATTTACAAATTTAGCAAGTGAAATATATGTATTTTGTGTGAAAAAGAAGATAGGGAATAGAGTGATTAATGCACGAGCTTCTACATAGGGGGGCAGTGAGATGTTTACTGCGCGTCAGGCGCGCATTGCAACGATTGAGTGTCGAAAGAAACCAGGCATTGCATTGCATGAAAACGGTAAGTTTCTAAAGAACTGCGGTGCTGTGTCAGTGGGAGAGTATTGCAGGATAATTTAGTATCATCAAATGAGTTGATAAAGAAAACTGGCTACCGTAAAGAGTTTCAAAGCTGACGTTTCGAGCGTTAGCCTCTCGTCAGAGCTAATGAGGAAGGGCTAACGCTTGTAACGTCAGCTTTGAAACTCTTTACGATGGCTAATTTACGTTATCAACTCAGTTGATATTACTGATAGAGGGTACTTAAATGTGGTGACGTCAAACTTCATACCTGTCGAGTAACTGTCTCCGCTTTCAAGTGCATTCGGATGTGCGTGAAGAGTGGAGAGCATTTTGCAGGAAAGATTTGTCATGTAAAACACTAAACCTTTGTTTTCGAACATTTGTCGTCTCTGTCTATACTTTAAATTTAAAAAATGCACAGTTTGCATTCATGTTGTTTCTGGACTGATTCACGTTTCACCGTGATCATTGTAGTCTAACCTACCTTCCCGAAGCTGATTAGAATGTTAGGGACTTTGAGGAGTTAATTAAACCTGAACTGGTAACAACACTCACTTATTTAATTATCCCATCAACGATAGTATTCCAAAGTACGGATAGCTTTACAATTGTCTTGTGAAATGACGATGAATTCACAAATTTCTATATTTTTACCTCTGATTGCAAATTCATTCCAAGATTGAGCTTAATCAATTGTGACGCACAACTCTTTCAGGTAATAACAAGAGAAGATGATGAGAAATTATTTACTCTTTATGATAAACATCGTGCCTCACTTAATTGTCAAAGATAAAGATAGTTTGCAGGAGAAGGAATATTTCTATTGTTCATCGGTGCTGTAAAACTGATGAAAATTTAAATTTTCCGTGGGAACCTTTTAGAGTACGATTACCCGTTACAAAGAAATTGATAAAGAGCCTATTTGATGAAAGGCGTTTTCAGAGAAACCTGGGAAGAAAATTGCCTCTCTTGTGACAGAATAAGCATTTCATTTTCGAATTTTGAATAAGTAGGCGTTTTTAAGGAAGTTTGTTTGCAAAGACTGTTAAGAATGTGAGTTTTAGTTATCTTGGACGCGCAGGTGCTATTCAGACGAAATTATCTCTCGTTATACACGGTTATTGAGAATCGAATCGATGGATGACATTAACTGGCAATAATATTGTCTTTCGTCCTCGAGAGATGACATTTTCCTGGTTGAAATTTCTGTTAACATATCCTCTTTAAAACGGTAAGTATCAGTGTTTCTTGAATTGATTTGCACATAAAGAAAAAAAGGAGAAAATATGAACAAAAAGGTAGATAGTTTAGAGGTACATTTATCATCATTCTATATTCTTTCAACATTTCACCTCCAAAGAGAGGGTTTTCTTTTCCCATTATGATAGTAAAATTATTATATGTCATAAATGTCTTTGTATGTCCTTAATGCTATAACTTATACCTGCTTTTATACACACGAAGGTAGTATTTTGCCAGTCGAAGATTAACTCAGTCCACGGTTTTAAACAGCTCCTTTATTGAATCATCGCTTGGAGTAGTCACGTTCAAAATCCAGTGGTGTCTCACAGTTCTTCTGACTAGCAAGTCGTAATACAGTGAATTCCGTTTATGACGTCATCACGTTATGCGATTAGTATTAATTAATTGAAAATTGTGGCCTTAATTAGCTAGCGCAGTAGATAACATATTAAGCAATACAGGTAGGTTTGCCAAACTCCTTAGGGTTCTTAGCCGTTTATTACGCCAGGAGAATTCCTAGCGTAAAAGGTAGTCGATGGAGATAAGATCACACTATTTATAATAACAAATTTCACATCACTTATTTTTTTTTAACATTTTTAACTTTATTTCGAAAGTAAAAGAAAAATCTCGATAATTTTAGGGGAGATTGCCGGGATGAACAATGCATATTTACCTTGGAACCAGTCACTATTAATCACCCTGGAAGGGGGGAGGGGAAGGGTGGGAGGATTTTCGGATTCTATCCACTGTCGCAGGTTTATGCTTTCACCTAGAATACCGTATAACTTTTTGGTATGGGTGTATAGTTATACCATCTTGCTTAGCTATTTCAAACGCCTCATAAACAAAGATTTTCCGCCCTCTTAGTCATCTTCAGACTCAAGTGCAAGATCGTGTTCAACAACAACCGAGCCAACCAAATGCACTGAACATAGCGCGATACGGAAAGGCAGTGCACAGTGCACTGTGGGTGCAGTTAGCATTAGTTTTTTGTTATATACCTCGTTATGTGGTGGAAATTGTGTTCATTTACAGTGAAACATATTCATCGCTTCTCAATGCAATCAGAGGAACTGCATCTGTTTTAATTTTTTTTTTAAACTTCTTTAAACCCTCTCCTTTATTGCTGGAAGATTAGTGAGGTGAGACAAGCAGTGAAGCAGACAGTCAGACAAGCACTTTTTTGTTGGTGAGGTTTGGAAGAATATTATATGATTGCACGAGCAATCATACATTGAAAGGTGCAGTGTGTTTATTTCATGATCAATAGTTTGCGAATTGGCCCTTGTTATTAACCCCATAAGACGTATGTTTTTTCCACCCGTGGGAAGATTTGAGACTAGTCGGAGGGTAGTTTGCTGAGGGTCTGGCACCAATAAGACCCCTAGCAGACCTCTCGCCAGTGAGTTGTGTAAAGCCTCACACATCCTTACGGGCGTGACTGGAAGCGCTCGTGTCATAATGGGGCCTGCTCACACGCTATAATTTGAATCACACTGATTGAGAACAGCTGAAGAAATGATAGAAAAAATATTATACCTTGGTAAGTAAACTACCCACGGGAAAAGTGTGCGTGTTTCTGATTCGTACCCCCAAAAATTAAGCTTCGCCTAGCAAAAAGAGAAAAAAAAATTGTTTAGAAGCACAAAGAAGTTGGAATTTTTTTTTCATCTTTTTAAAACGTTTTTAGGTAAATGAAGATAGTGACCAAAATTTTCACTCAGCTTCTACGGTTTGCCCTTAGACCCGGTTTACGAGCCATGGAGCTAGCTCAAAAATTTTATTATACGATAATCAGGAATTCCCTTAACCCTTTACATCCTAACATCAGTGTGCAGATTCTTCATACTTTTCTCTGCATATTTCATGTGGCGTTTATAAGGAGAATTTATCAAACAATTAAGAGCTTCTTTAGTTGGTAAACCGATTTCTTTTATTCTCCTGACCTTAATGTTTGATTCTGGGGTAATACTGTAACTATATTAAAATTAAACCTGATTATCACTGTGTCTCATAGAGTTAGTTTTATAGACCAATCGTATTCCAAAGAGAAAGTTAGCGACTAAATAACAGAAGAAAAACAGATCTGCCAATCATATATTGATTGAGTTTCGTCCTATCGAGTCTCTCAATAGGGTTAAACATTAGCCGTAAAACGACAAAAACAAACAAACAAACAAACTAGCCGATGGGCGTAAAAATTAACAAATTTTAACCGTCAGTCGTTAATAAAGTTAACCGTTCAGATTTTTTCTTGACCGTAATGAAAATAAATTAACCGCTAGACGTAAAATGGCCAACATTCCAACTGTTAGCCGTAAATGCCATCACCCCGCCCCTTAGGACCCTCTCGAGCTCAAGCTTTTGCTTGTTTGAGGAACACTTTAAGAGTCTGTTTATTTAAAAGTGGATTTATGTTAAATCAGAAGGAAAAGTTAGGCCCAATATTTCTGCCCTTCTTCCGAAGAGGGAGCGGCTGTGAACGGCCGTGAATTCGTGGGCATAAGCAGAGACTCATTTCCCGAACAGCGGCTCGTAATCGAGCCTGTGGCCTGGTCAGTGATTAAACTTCAAATGCCATGCGCAACTATTGCATCACAACTTTTCAAATCTTTGCAATCCCATTCACCCACATAAACAACCTACTCTCTTATTTTTTCACCACATTTCAAAGAAACCAGGTTTGTTTAGTGGTTTTTAATACCTTACGGTTCAATTTTGAAGGTACGTCTAGTGAGATAAAATTTTTATCGCCCGAAACAATACTATTTAATTTTCCCAATTTGGTGCTTCGTGTTCCGGTGTTTAATAGAAATTCCAAACGTGTACAGATAAATTTCCAAAGTTATATTTTTGAATTCGGATATATTTATACAGAATTGTAAATAAGGCTATTTTAAATTATGGAAGTATCGGAAAATATCGTTGTAAATAATTCTGTTGGTGATACATCATCGAAAAAACTGAGTCCATGGGGAAAAAGTCCTCCTGTGGCACCGTGTTCCTTGGCTTCGGTTATGGATGAAGAAATCGCTAAGGAACTTCAAGCTAAAGAGGATTACTTGGCTGGATATCATCTTCAAGTAGACAAAGCTTCATCTGCTAACACGTTTGAAGGTGATGAACTAACATTGAGGGTGAATCTTTAGGATATGGGAAAAATAGGATTGTCTTCATGTGACATTCACTTACTGAGAATCCTTCTGCACTCATACTTCCTCTCTATTCCATGCGAATGTTGAGTACTGTCTTTGAATCTGTGGTGATCCGTTTCTTTACATGGAACATGATTTCCTAGCAGTTTCAGTCTTGTGTGAGCAATCTGCTGTGACCCAAGTATGGCATTTGCTTGACGTTCCAGAAATCCCAGTGTGACAAGTCTTAAAGTATATGTTGAACATGATTTTCTAGTAGTTTCGGTTTTAAGTGAGCAATCTGCTGTCACCCCAATATGACATTTGCTTCACACTTCAATCACCTCATCAAACAATGTGTTACTGTTTTTTTGTGTTATTTTTGAATTTTTGAAAGTAGTAATGCATTTTATTACCTTTGCAACATCATTGTGTTGACTTTAATAAATGCTAACAATCAATGCTTAAGCCTTTCCACACTGATGTCAGTATGCATATTCTCCATTCTGCTCCTTAGACATTTCCTAAGGTGCTGACAAAGAGAATTTGTTTAACAATCAAGAGCTTCTGTAGTTGGTGATCATTTCCTTTATTTTCATGATATTAATGTACATGTATATGATTCAGGGGTGATATCGTTAGGAGTGATTAGATGGTAGTCACTCAAAGGCGTCAAACAGTTAATTCCTTGACGGGGAAGACAATCAGTTTAATGAAATAAGCTTATTTAGCATTCATAATTTTGAATACAAGTGTTTATTCTACTATCAACCCTTTAAAGCCTTATCTAGAGTGACTAGCATCTAATTTCTCCTTACACCATCATGCCTGAACCAAACATTATTGACCATAAGGATAGAGAAAGTGATTACCAACTAGAGCAGCGTATGATTATTGGACAAATTCTCCTTGTCAGCAGCTCAGGACATGTAAAGAGATTAATAATTAAAAGTGACTTAGATGATATTTCCTCACAATGTTTTGTTGAGTGTAATTCTAAATTATGCAATAAAATATTGTTATTTTTTTCTAGGAGGAACAAGTCCAGACACTGAAAATGATTTTCTCTTGGCCCAAATGATGCAACTTGAGTATGATAAAGAGTATGATCGCACAATTGATTCAATGGAAAAGAGATACAATGGGGAAAGTAAAGGTATTGCAATTTTTTATTGAAATTATTTCACATAAAACAGTCGTCATCATTATAGAGCTCCAGGGGATAAACCTCAGAAGCCTTCTAGGCTATCAGGTAATTCAGTTTTATCAATTGACAGAGTTGACAATGTAAATTAGCCATGGTATAGGGTTTCTAAAGCTGTTTTGAAGGGTTTAGAGGACCGAAACAGGCTCCAATGATGGGCTAATGCTTGGAACATCAGCTTTAGAAACTCTTTGCGGTGGCCAATTTATATTATCAACTCAGGTGAAGATACCAAATTATCTTGTAAAACCTCACACCAAAGTTTGAAATTGCAAGGGTTTCAGTTTTGCGTAGAATTTTCTCTGGGTCAGACACTCTCTAGCTGTAGTTATGTGTGTACTTATGACAAGTAATCTTTTCTGGGTTAGCCAGTACACATAACTTGGGCTCACTCAAACTTTCAGAGGTCTAAGATATTTAGAGCTGTTTGAATTATTGTTAATGGTAAAAATAAAAGTAATTGAAAAAAAACTTTTTAAGTTAGTTGGAGGTTATCATGAGTCAACACTTGTGAATTCCTTTATTCACAGTGATTTGTACCTTTTCCTGTATCATGACTTGTTTCATGTTAATTGTTTTCAGTGTCTGTATCCTTTGACAATTTCCGCAATGTTCATCCAATCTTGAAGGAAGATTCTAGCTCTTCAGATTCAGATGAGTGGAATGAAGAGGAATTAGGTAGTTGCATCAAGTTGATTGTTCCTAGCTGTTTTCTACACTCTTAAGTTATAATCTGTAAATTTCCTCTCTCCTTTAATTCCTTTATTTTCTGGAAGTAACATCATCAAACATGTACATGTAAGAGGTCATCACTAACCTGGACAGTGTGAGCTAACTTGACTGATAGATTTAGGCCTTAGAATGAGATATATGATAGATTTAGTCCTTGGAATGAGAATTTGTGTAACAATCAAGAGCTTCTTGAGTTTGGAATTATTTCCTGAATGTTAGTGACCTTTATGTGATTCAGGATTAAAACAGTGAAGAGAAATTAAATGGCTATCACTCTTAGGGGGTTAAACTGACCTGATAAATTCTAATTAAACCTTAGAGTCACTAATGTTGTGGTACCGTTATATTGGCCAATAAGTTTCCAAACATCAGGCAAAATTGACCCTAAATTTTATTATTGATAAGCTTTCCTCATTGGTGACCTTCTCTGCAACTTTAATGGTCTAAATGGTTTTCTAATCATGGTCACTGTGATTAAAATTATTGCAGCTTATGTGGCTGTATCATGAACAAAATCTATACCATTTGATTAACAAACTCTGACTGATAATGACAATTGAAATTTCAGTCCTTAACTACTCTTACCTGGATGATAACACCAGATGACTCACTCTTATTGTCAAGTTCAAACCATTCTTTTTAAAAAACATTGTTAAAAAAAAAATATTTGGCAATGTTTAGTTATTGATCACTGAGCCTCTGAAATAACTTTCTTTTAGTTTAGCACTTAAATGAGAGCTTACATACAAAAAGTATAGGCAAGAAAGTAATGTCGCAGTTCAGAAAGTTTGGCATGTTATATTTGAATAAAATGTGTGACTGTGGTTTTCTCAACAGATCCTCCTCATAGGCATCCAAAGCCTCAGACCAAACAATCTTCTGGCAATAATAAAAAGGAAATAATCACCAAACATGATTCAACAGTGTGTGGTCGTCGTAATGTAAAGATCATGGAAAAGGTGAGATCTAATTCAAAGTAAGAGCTCCTTTTACCATTATAGGAATTTAGGGGAAACGTTTGCCAATATAATATTGTTAAGTAGTGAGGTGAAGGAGCATTCATAAAAGAACTGTTTCCATTTAGTATTCTGTTGTGGTTACCCTCACAGTTTCCACCAAGTTTTGCTGCTGGTGATATTGGCAGTGCAGGACTGGATCTCAAGCTGTCTAATGGAGTGTTCAACACTTTGAAACAACATTCTTACCGTGAAGAGCGTCAGAGTGCACGTCTCCACGAGAAGAAGGAACATTCAACACATGTAGGCTATGATATTCTTGTTTGACTTTAATGATTACCTTGAGTCTTAAAATACATGAAAGCTTGAATTGTTCATTCTTACTTTCACCACCTCACCCCCAGTGCATTATGCCAAGAGCCTCCTCCCCCTTAAAACATGTAAACCAAAGGAACTTCAGATGGAAGCCCTTAATTAATAGAGAAAACACTTGGGAAACCTCTCTAGCTTTTTATTTGGACTCCTTTTCCAACTTGCACTAGGCATGTAAAAACTCATTTTTCAACTTTGAATTGCACTAGGGACTTAAAAACTCATTTTTCAGTGAAGTTTTGAAAAAGCTGTTTGGCAGGTTCAGAGCCTTGTAAAATTATAGAAAAGTCATATGATCACAACTACTTGAGAAAAACTGGGCTACTCTTTACACCACCTTTGAAAAAAGACACTAAAAAGCATGGTAGTTGTGATCTAACAGGGAACTACTTGATGGAGTTAAAGAATTAACAAATAAAACAAACCAATTTTGAGTCACCTTGCTTATTGCAACTGTATCTGGGTATGGAACTAATAAGAAACAAATATATTTTTCAAAAAATGTACTATTAAGTATGTTTGGTAAGATAATTATGTGACATGTAACAGTTGCATTATATTGATTGTTTGTTTTAGGAGCAAGTTTTAGACCCCAAAACAAGGCTGATGTTGTACAAACTGGTGAATGGAGAAGTTCTGGAGGCTGTAAATGGTTGTGTCAGTACAGGAAAAGAGGCTTGTGTGTTTCATGCTAATGGTGGAAGGTTTGTATCAGCTGTAGTTAAATGCATTGGAAGGGTTTTAAATGAAAGGAGAAAACATTTTCTGTTTTGGAGATATGGAATTTTTGAGTCAAAGTTTTGGAAAAAGACAATCCTCTTAAGGGTAAACTTTGAGGGAGAAATTGCATCATTCTGTAATACTTAGTAATCAAGTAGAATGTAATTACAGTTCCAAGTCTTCAAGCTAGCCTAGGAAGGGCAAGAACTCAGGGACACAATTGTATTGAAAATTTTGATTGGAAGAGAAGTGTGACCTGACAAAGATATCAAAATGCTCTGCTGGAAGAGATCTTCAGGCTCATTTCAAAATTTACAAAAGTAAAATTTTAAGGATAGTGGGAAAAAAAATATGCTAGCTTTTAACCCTTTAACCCCAAAGAGTGATTGGCATCCAATTTCTCCTTACAAGATCAACCCTGAATAAAACATAAAGGTCATGGGAATAAAGGAAATGATCACCAACTAAAGAAGCTTTTGATTATTAAACAAATTCTCCTTTTCAGAACCTTAAGAAATGTTTGGAGAAAGTATGGAGATTATGTATACTGATTTTAGGGGATCATTGTAGTCTGGTGGTTGTGGTATAAAGCACTCTATAGAACCACTCACCAAATTTGTTCCTGGTGGCCTGCTTTCTTGTTGACTGTGCTCTGTTAATAATCAAGTCACCTTCAGCCAGATGGGATTTTTGGCAAATTTGTGTTAATTTAAAAATGTTTAATTTTATTTATTTGTTGACATTATCACTGGAAATGCCCATTGAGGCAAGTGGTCAAATTAGTAACTTAAATGATTATTCTTGTCTTTTTGTTACTGGAAGAGAGATGTCCTTGATTAAAAGTATTTTTGTGTTTTGAAATGAACAGGAGAGAGGAGGAACCAATGCCAGAAGAATGTGCTGTCAAAGTGTTCAAAACAACTTTGAATGAATTCAAGACCAGAGATCGGTACATCAAAGACGATCATCGTTTTAAAGATCGCTTCAGTAAGCAGAATCCCAGAAAAATCATCAAGCTGTGGGCAGAGAAGGAAATGTGCAATTTGAGCAGGTGTGTTGTGTATATGTTTGTTTGAAGTGCCATCAACATTGCTAATCATAGCAGTATGCAAGGCGTGTCATTAATTAACTTTGTAATGGGCCTCCCTCACCATCAAATCTCTGTGGCTCAGTGGTAGAGCATTGGAGCATGGAATCTTGAGGTCTGAGGTTCAATTCCTCATGAGAACTCAGAATTTTTCTTTGTCCCATGCTCCTGATAAGATGAAAAACATCTTTCTCTATATGTTTGTTATTGCTCAATTTATTAGAATTTTTTTTTACTTTCAAGTATCCACCTTCATAGTCACTATTAATAGGTTCCATTAAAAGAAACTCTCTTTCCAGTGAACTCAAGATCCAAGGATTTGGCCAGCATTGACTTGTGCTACTCATATATCTACATATTAGTGTACAATGGTGGACATTATTAATTAAAAGGACTTAGACATGAGCTACTGCAACTTCACATAATGCCACAGTGCATCTGTAATAACTTAGCTGACAAAGGATTTGAATTTCAAATAATTGGTTTTTGGGTGGTGGTTGAAATAACAACATTGAAACATAATTTTGAAAAGCAGTGGCAATGTTTCAAAGGCTATGTCTTATATGTTTTGACTTCCCAGCTTCTGTCACTTAAGTTACTCGGACCGTAAATCTCCTCTTTCCCCCTTCCCATGGGCATGGATGCTAGTCTTTATTGCAAGCCCCACAGGAATTTGTCGTGTATTTGTAACAGTGTGCCAGTACTCATTTATATACCTGAAGGGTAAAACATTGTAGGTACGGTGGAGTTGATTGTGTCTTGGCCAAGAGAGGAAGAAAATCATGGATACAAACTTCTCCATTTGATAAGGAATCCAGCCTACTAACACACTTAGCCACCAGTCTCCCACTGATGTAGGCACTAATTGGGAATTGTTTTTAATTCAGAATGAAGAAAGCTGGTATTCCATGTCCATCAGTGGCACTCCTGAAGAAACATATACTAATCATGAGTTTTATTGGCAAGAATCAACAACCTGCACCTAAACTGAAAGATGCTGTTCTGTCTGCACGCCAATTACAACAGGCGTACCAACAGTGTGTTCAGGTACAGTATGATAGTCATATATTCACAGTTGTTCAGAAATGGCTGCACACCCTTATAATTTTAGATGGAAATAAAAATGTAAGAAAAAATGAGAAAGAAACCACAGTCATTTTAATGAAATTCCAGGAAAGCCATATTAGTTTTGTACTTAAGTACTCCAAAATTGTGTAAAATACAATTTAATTGCTTTAAGACAAAAGTCAGTGGCCTGTGGCAGTTAGGCTTTACTAGAACAAAAACTTGGTAAATCTATATTTTGATTGAAGAGATAATGTTGTGATGTTGCAGATGATGTGTACAATGTACCAGAAATGCAAGCTGATTCATGCTGATTTGAGTGAATATAACATGTTGTGGCATGAAGACAAAGTCTGGTTTATTGATGTCAGTCAGTCGGTGGAACCAATGCATCCCCATGCCTTGGAGTTTCTCTATAGAGACTGCACAAATGTTGTTGAGTTCTTCACCAAGTGCCAAGTTCCAGATGTTCTACCAGCTCACGACTTGTTTAATAAGGTCTCACAATTGGACATCACACCCAGCACAGAACAAGGTTTTCTTTCCCAGGTAAAAACTCTCTTTGAGACCTTGACTCTCACCCTCTGAATCCAAGTTTTCAGTCTTCAGCTGTCAAAGTTCTCTCACAAATGATTTCTCAATTCTCTTTCTAGGTTCAAGCTTATGAGAAACATGAACTTTCCATTGGAGGGAGAAAGAATGAAGAGCCATACGACTTTGATTACTTTTTTAACAAGACAAGCACTTAGTTGGAATGATTGGTTTTAGAAATTACTCACAGGGCAGATGTATGCCTCGACTCTTCCATTACAATTGATGAAAATTGCTTCTCAAACATCTCCACTTTGTGGTAGATTAATACACTGTTGTGTAGAGGTGTCTCACCAAAAAAAAAAGATGTACATCTGTACCTGGTAGAACATTAGGCATGCCCATCTCTATCTGGGCAAGTATACTGGACATGAAGAACTGTATGTCCTAACGATATTCTTGAAATAAAATTGTGCTGGGAATTAGTGCTGATAATTTAAAAAATTAGCCTTTTCCTCAAGTTGTGGAATGACATTTTAACAATATTCAGATTCTAACACTCTGCAGACTTTCCATTGCAAAACTTTGACTGCAAGAATTAAAGAATGAGAACTTAACAAAGGAGTTACACTCTTATTTAATCCATAAATACACGTACAGTAGACTGAAAATGAAAACTTTAAAAAGAATATTTTAAAAATTGAAGTATAGTTTTACTTTCTTACTTGTAACTGTGGCACTATGTAAATTGTTTTGCTCCATTTTACGACTGTCAGTACTGTTGTGAATGAATTTTGATTGTGTGTACTACTAAATGTTTGTATTATTTGTTACTAGACATTTAAAAACTGACAGTAAAAAAATGTATACTCTGAACTTGAGCCAAGGGGCCCATCCAGCTGGAGCTTATCCTGGTTTCCATAGCATGAAGGGACAAGGGGTATTACTACTCCCCCCTGGATGGATGGTCAGTCCATCACAAGGTTCTTCCCACCTTTCTTCTCTCCCCCCCCCCCCTCCCCAGCATTTCACCTGGCTTCCCAGACAATTTGCAGGTACTTGTCATACTCCTTGGAGGAGAAAGGCTCTGAATGCAAATTTTTTTGCCCAAGAACACATCACAATGAACTGGCCAGGTCTTGAACCCAGATCTCTCAACCTGGAGACTAGTATACCAACATTTACACCATTGTGTCTCCCACTAACATTGATAGGAGCCTTAACCCTATAACCGCTGAGAGTGACTGGCATTTAATTTCTCCCAACAATATTACCCTTAATTAAACCTGAAGGCCATGAGAATAAAGGAACTGATCACCAACTAAAGAAGCTCTTGATTGTTAGACAAATTCTCCTAGTCAGGACCTTAGAAATGTTTAGAAAACAGTATGCAGAATATGCATACTGGTGTTAGAGTGTAAAAGGTTAAAAGTGATGTAATTTGGAGAACTTTTTGAAAACAGACGCTTTCCTAATACAAATGCTACACTCTATCCTGTCGGTGTTGGTAGTGCAAAGATTCAGCTGTAGACTGCTTGTCATTCATTTTCCAATTATTTTTATTTTCCATTCTTGACCAAAATTATTTTGATGCAAGGTACAATTGTAATATTTGTTAATTTTTTTTTAGTTGTTACAACTCTACTGGTCAACCACCTGAAAGTTTATGCTTGCCTTACCAGCATTATTCTAAATTTATGCAGGATATTTTATTTATCAGTAAATAGTGAATTCTCTTGAAAAATGACTTGAAGAAACACTGTTGTGAAATTATGTTTTAATTCAAGGCATAGCAACTACAAAATCTATTATTTAATCATCAGGTTATAGGTTGTAGTTTAAAGAAGCACATTCTTTGGGGCTTCATCTGCTATTTTTGGCATGCCGGCCACAATACCGGACTCAATACCGCATTCATCTTTGCCTCGCAAAATCTTAAAGTATCCTGTTTGGAGAAATGAAAAATAGAAAAAAGGGCTCATGATCTTTGACTTCTCCCAGATGATAATAATAGCTTAGGCTCTTAGCTGTATGCAGTAAAATATATGGGTTCAACTGTGACTCTTTGATCCCTAAGAGTAACAAGCATCTTATTTGTCCTCACAATATCACCCCTGAATCACACCGTGAGGTCACGAGAACAAAGGGGATGATTTCACCAGAAAGGCTTGACACTCCCAGTTCAAATTCCCCACCCAAACAGGCAAGCTAAAAATTCTCTACCTTGGGGGACAAAAAAAAAGTCAAATGCCTGTGGGGTTGCCTGGAAGAGGGGAGTTGGGGAAGCGAATGTCCAAGTCTTGCATTTATTGACCCATCAAGGCTAACAATCTTTTATACATTCAATTACCTTTGTCTCCCCAGTCTGTGTTCCAGGAATTGGCCACAAGCCTAATTAAAGGAAAAAAAAAATTTTAAAAGATCTGTTTCCCCTTTAAAATTTTCATGTGCCAAAGTCACAAGTGGTATTTTATGGTTGAGTTTTAAGCATTTATTATACTTGGATAACTTGAAGTTGTTCTTACAAGGAAGTTAAAAGACATGCAGCTCTTGAGTAGAGCTATAACAATAAGTATGCCGGTATGTAGCTACCAGTGATAAGCTACAGAGTTGAAGCTGCAGAGGTTTTGATTAGTTTTGTCATAAGCAGCTGCCAATGGTGTGATTGGCAGCTGTGCGCGAAAAAGGGACTGAAGGTGAAATTCAAATGCAAGAGCCTGCTTGTAGGCTAAACAGAAAGTAGTGGGAGGTCTTGAAGGTGGCAGTCAACTGGCAGTAACTATAGCTTTTAACCCGCAACTCCCACAAGTGATTAACTTGAAACTTCTCCCTATAACATCCATACATTTTTCTGCAAACAGGTAATGAGAATATTCACACTTATCAGGGAGAAACTGCTATCTTGATCTAGCACCAAGTTCTCATAACTAATTTAGAGGAGCTAAAGAGGAGAATTAAGAATCAGATCTTGGGAGTTAAAGGGTTAAAGAAACCCCATGGAGCTGACAATAAGCAATCCAGAATGAAGTTGACCTAAAACATAACTTCAGCTGAACTTGACTGTGAAGTTACCAAAAATTAAGAGTGATATTGAATAGCAAACATTGGCCCTGAAGTTTCTCCAGTGTGAATTATTTTGCAGAAAAATGGAAAATAAAATAACTACAGATGTTTTAATTTCATTCACAAATTTAAACCAACATGGAAAATCAGTGGAGGAGACATCCATTTTCTGTGGTTTGCAGTTTAAGGCCATCAGAGTCACACTTTAAGTCTACTGTCTTCAGGTAAACCTCTTTTCAACATGGTATTTTAACCTAAAAATCAGTGATATAAAATTACTCTTACCAATAAGGTGTGTCATTCTCTGTACCCCAGCCTAGGATCTTTATAGCATGACCACCAAGGGGCTGTCCTGTTGTGTGTTGATAAACACCTACAGGATAATTTAATCACACTGGTAATTACTTAAAAGGACACATCAAATACACAAAAACTAATGAGACGTTGTTAAGTAAAATTGACATATTTACAATACAGATAATGACAAAGATCATGATTATAGTGATTATGGGATCATGATAACAAAAGTGACACAAACAATTAATATTGAGTGACAGTGTGCTTTCCAATCAATGGCACACTTAAGAAAAGAGTTAGTTTTCAGTTTGTTTGTTTGTTTTTTTAAAAAAGCCCTATTCGTCTTTCAGTACATAAATGCATCATCTCAGAGCTAGTTAAATGGATGAACAACAGTTTAAGCTTTACATTATCTCATAGGTGAGTGAAAAGGTTCTTAAACACTGGAGAGAGAGCTAGGTGAAGCTTAACAGAGCCTGATTATTGAGAGCCTCCTAGCAACACTCCCAGATATAATTAGTTGGGACACTTCTCCAGAATAATGTCTATATGATGTTCTTTTGGCCCTCTCTCCTTTCCTATATCATCAAATACCACTGTGTCTATGCCATCTTGCAGACCAAAATTGAAAGAAGCAGGGAAGACATTAAGTTTCCCAACAAATGTGTCTGCGAGTGGAGGTCGTATATCTCTCCCCCTGGTACAAGTGGCAACTTCATGGGGCAGGTATGACAACATGTGATATCAACACCTAAGAAAATGAGTGAAGAAATGCATTGTCTCAACATAACTGAAAGTGCTCACCACTCTTGTAAGAAGGGAAATCAGAATAAACAGTGAAGGCTCCCTCTACAGGACCATTTGTCATGATTTCCTTTTGAATCTGTTCCATTTCACTGCTCACAGTGTAAGAACTCTCTCCATACCTCTTGTCATCTTCATAACTAACATTATAACCTGTTCAATAAAACATCAAATAATAAGAAAAAAAGGCTCATCAGACAATTTTTTTTTCAAGCTCTTACTCTTATCAATCCCACCCACAATTTAGCCTTTTTGTCTTTCATAGCTGTTAATTTTTTGTGAATAAGTTTCTCTTAGACATAGTTTGATGCTACTCTGGTTTACAGATTTAATGAATGTAACCGAAGAAGTTACAATTGATAGACCCAACATTTCGACATTCTTGTCTAGTGCCTTCATCAGGGGTGGTCTGAAGTTTCTCTTTTGTGTGTGTGTGTGTAAATGTAAATGATATCCCTCTTACTATGTGTGCATTATCACATAAGTAGAACAATCTAAGTAGAATAAATATTAATTGTCTCTTAAGAGTAATGTAAGTAAGTAGTGTAACGCAATGTACCTAGAGAGTCCTGAGAAAGGAACCTTAATGTAGTGAATTTAAGTATCATGTTTTCAAAATATAAATAAATAATTAAAAAATAAAAAATAAAAAAAAGACAATTACTATAGAATAGAACTAAAAGATGCACAAGGAAATGGATCAGTACTCTCTCTTTGTAAAGTTAATATAGATGTGGAAGGAACACCTCTTGTCATTTTTATGTTTTTACACAGGTTTTAAGCAACATTTGTTCCTCATTTTTTAAGTAGTGATCTTGCCTGGTTCACACTTCTTTTCACATCTAGGTGTAGGAACAATTGTTTTGCTGCAAGGTTGCAGTTTTCCCACAACATGGTGATCACAAGCTTTCACCAAGTATGGCTGACATCCTTTATGGGAGTCATACTGTCCTCCTGTGACTAAACCTCTACTTTTCCAGTACTCCCTGAAAGAAAGAGAAAAAATTTTGTTTTAGGGACAGTCATTATTTAAAGCTTGGGGGGTAGGAGGGTGGAGGATTTAGGAGGCATAATCATATGGTTTTCAGAGGAGATAGAGGTGGGTCAGTTGTCACTAACAGAACATAAAGGGGAACTATAGAAATTGATTGCCAATAATGAAGAATCATTAGCCTTGTGGGAGGGGGAAGGGGGGGAAGAATTAGGCAAATTCTTCTGTGACATGACCTAAACCATCCAGCCCTTCCCAGGTAATAAAAAAATGACCATTACTAAATTTTTCTTGTCCACCAGTGTACTTGAATGAACCAATTCATGATAATGCTAATGAAACATCAATAGATTGGAACCGACCCATCCAATGAAATACCAAAACAGACTTCTACATATTTAAATGAATACAAGATTATCTGCTTTCTTAGAGTAAAATATGTGGGGAAAATTTCTGAAAATTTAAGCTTCAGAATTAATTCTGTGTTATATTACTGAAATCTAAATTTTCAACCTAAAATAGCTGAAATTATAAGCAATGTATGGACGATGGTTTTGAGAATTTAAGTTTAGAACTTGGCACTTACTGATAAAATCAATCAATATCTAATTTAATGTATTTTAATGTATACTATAATTACCAAGCGGCTTCAGGGAATCCTCCATTGCATCTGAAATAAATTAATAACAAATAATAATAATAATAAGGACAAATTATGATGAAAATGATAATAATTTGTATAAAGACATGGTTTCTATTCTTTTAACAAAAAGTTAATGATTATAGGATTCTGAATTATTATAGGGTTACTATGCCTTTACTAAGATCATTTTTCCTTTTTTTTTTCCTTTTCTTTTTCAGGCTTCTTAACTCTTAAAACTCCCATGTGACTTCTCTCTAAAATATCCATCCAGCAAACAGGCAATGAAGTTGTTATCTTAATGTAACACCAAACTCTTAAAACTTATTCACAAGGATATATGTAGCAGCAAGAGGGGAGAATTCTTAATCAGATCTTTTGAGTTAACAGGCCAAAAATGACCATCAAAACTAAAAAGACAACCTCCATATTAACCCTTTAACTCCCATGAGTGACCAACACAGAATTTTCCTTACAATATCAATACAATATCAACCAGATAAGTGATGAGAATATCGAAAAATCTTGATTTGGGAATAATTAGTTGATCTGATACTAAATTCTCTGAACTAACAATATAAGAATTGTATGGTTGACAGTAAGGAGAATTACAAATTTGATCTGGGGTTTAAAGGATTAGAGGGAAATTCCCACAGCCACCCACCCCATTCCACAAGATGAACAGCAGGAAAGCAAATCTTCAGCAGAAATGTGAGGTGTCAGTTTTCCATTTGACTTAATACAGATTCTGTCTGTCATAGCCTCCACAGCTCCAAATGCCTAGACAAGAAAAAATGAAAAAATGATTTTCTGCAAGATCAGCAACTCTTAAACACTTCAAAGTCAGAGGCAGAGAGCTAGCTGTTGTAAGAATTATTTACCAAAGAAAGTTATAAAAGTAATATTAATCACAGGACTAAATTGGATAAGGTTTTATGAGAAAACCCTTTCTTATTTAGCAAAATGTTATAGTCTCAAACATAACAGTAGAGTTCAAAATGGCAAACTGACCCAGCAACTTCCACAAGCACCTTGGTCCCGGATTTCATTTGTTGATGGACAATCAGACCATTGTTCCCTGGAGTCAAATGTGGATGGTATCTCTTGCTCAATGATTTCATAATCTGTCTTCACTAAGGATGCAAACAACAAATGTCACACGAAAACAAAAGAAAGAAAACGGTCATCATTTATTGCCTAAGTGAGGAGGTCAGAGGATTTTGATTGTGTCACAATCAATTTGACCTGACCCCTCTTAAAAGGCACTTTTGGGGAGTGTTTTATTGCATTAACAAGAAAGTATGGCTCCAATGCAGTGATGTCACATCCTACATAACTGTAACCAATTCAACTAACAGTTACTGCTTTCCAGATCACGAGATTTTCTGTAACCATGACAATGCAAATACCATAGGAATTGTGTATGGCAAAACTTTGATGACAATTTGGATTATCATAGTAGTGATATCAATTTCCTTTTTTTCTTTTGCAGTAAGCTTTACAATATTCTTTTTGGAAATTTTCCCACATCAAAACGCAGAAACTCAAGATTTCAACTCAAGATTTCAACTCAAGATTTCCCCTCAAGATTTCCCCTCGAGATTTCCCCTCGAGATTTTCCCTCGAGATTTTCCCTCGAGATTTTCCCTCGAGATTTTCCCTCGAGATTTTCCCTCGAGATTTTCCCTCGAGCACAATTTGCTGGCTTCTTAGGTTACCCACCCTAAAAACTTAGTAGTTCCCATGAAGCAGGGTTGTCTAACTTATACATTTTCTGTAAAAGTCAACATGCACAGCCAACTTTGACTACAGTATACAAAAAGAACGCGATCACCTCAAAATCCTTCTTATCGATTGACGATTACTCCAAAAACCTTGTGAAAGTTATCTTTACCTTAATTGAAAATATGTATTATCCCTTCAGTTTCGTTATATCTCGCCTGGTTTCGTTTCGTTTCGTTTTGTTTCGCATAACAGAATAAGCCGAATTTACAGGTCCATACGAACGCTCCAGAATGATCTTAACTCTTATGACTGCGTACATGTTGAATAACTAACCTGCCAAGATCCCCAGCTTTAATGGCTTCGGTTTGATCTGATCATCTAGCGGGACGCCGCATAAACGCTTGAAATACTCAGCATCGTAACCAGCGTAATCTGGATCTGCTTTCCAAGTTGCGTACGTGTTGATGTAATCAATCTCTTCTACCTTGAGTGGTTCGTGCAGATATTTCGCCTGACACGAGATGAACAGCGCCACCAGAGTCACAAACAGAACCGCCATGGGAAACAGAGATCCCGATTTCGGAGAATTTGAATTCTTTTGAGGCTAACAAAGCGCGAGCTGCTACAACAGAGTCTGCGGAAATGTCCTGTTCGTTAAATTTATTAGTCACAAGACCTGAGCGGAAGTCACAAGACTTGAGGAATTTCGGTCACGAGTTTAGGTTCTTGAATTTCACTTTAGAAACCAAATAGGATGAACGCACTCTAAGCAATAATAGCTATAACGTCACTGTTTCATCGCAGCTGTAAGAAAAACAAAAGTTGCTGCATCATCGACATGGGAACAGCCTGGACATGTGAAAATTTGAAATAGATATACGCGATGTTACTAATTCTGTCACAAGCTCTGGAAAAAGAACAAATTTTTGTTACCTGATAGGAATCGAACCCCAGTCATACCGATTCCATCCTAATTAAAGTACTTTATCTCTATACTCGAAAGTGAATGAGCATTGTGTTAGCGCATTGTGTAAAATCGCACGTGGCAAAGGCATCATGTTAGTAAGTAGATTTGGAACGATGGTGTATACTGAGTCTAGTCGTAAGATAAAGGAAATCTTCTTTCCTATTTGTCCTTTTTTTTTTTTCTCACAGGTGCGGGACAAATAAAAATTTCTGCGAATCCCTGACAAGATCTTGTTGTGTTTTGTCTCTATTTTTGCGAATCATAGTTGTCATTTTAAACAGACCTATTTCTTTGTTGTATGTGTTTGTTATTTGTTATCTTCATTTACCCTATTCATTTATTTCTTTATTCGGACTGTTTGTCGTTGATTCCTCATCCAAGCTGGTTGTAATGAACATAGGGAGGCTGGAGTGGGCGTTGGCTGGCGACAGCCGGCCGAGGCCAAGACTCGTACCCAGTCGCCATTACGTGTTTTGTGGGGAGAGAAGATTGGATAATGAATTAAGGCGAGCGAAGCGATAGATCAGCCCGATTAACCTCGTTATTTCCCTTAAGGATCAGAAAAACCTGAACTCAGAGGTGAGGCCAGTTGGCCAGAGGCCGATTTTTTTTCTGCGTTTTTAGGGACCGAGAAGAAGTCGAGGTCCATGAAAACGCCAAACGCCACGTTGGCTATCATCCAACCATCTTGACCGAACGAGCTTGGTCAATTAAGGATTTAATATATTGCAAAACGATTTTGCTTTGTCCAGAATGACATGTTTATTTATTTTGAGAGCCGGGAAAGAAAGCCAACTGTATATGTAGCACAAAAACACACAAGAGAAATTTATGTTTTCTTTGTTTTTCCGCTTTTTGCGACTCAATAGTTAATATTGTCAAAAAGTTATTACTGGGATACCTGTGGTAGCCCAGTCATAAAATGCCTTTGTTTTTTTGTCGTCTTTTTTTTTCTTTTTTTTTTTTCCCTCCGCCACAAAATGGAAAAATTGCGCAATAGTACCCAGAGGTCATTGGGCCCTCAACACCATGACAACTAACTGTGATCCAATGAGGTGTTCACATGCTGATCACGCGTGCTATCTTGATGATGATTGACGTTGTCATGCACGAACAGGGCCGAGTCACATGACGAACACGAGATTTTTGCCCATAAAACTCTTTTGTCAGTCGTTTTGTATTTCAATGTGTTTGGATTACGATAATCTGGAGCATTATGGCGCAAACGCTCAAAATACTTATAGACGCATACACAAGTCGTATTGTTCGCGGCCAATCCACACAAAAAGAGGCAAAGTTTCCGCACAGCCCCATACTTCATTATGCATACAGTCCTTTGTTAGAAGAAAACAATAGCGCAAACAATAGATTACCTTTGGGACTATTCGCTTTGTTTTCAAGAAGTTGAATTTTTTTTTAAGTCTTTACTCAAACCTTCAAAAAATAACTCTTGCATGCATAGCATGCCTATGTTTTGAGACAGGTATATGCCCTTGGCCAGACTTGAGCTCACTATTTCAGTAAACTAGTCCGACACGCGTAGTATCACTACACTTGATTCCACGGATTCAGTACCATCCAGGTATCCCAGTTACCCTGCTCACAGGGTCTAGTTAACTTTGTTGGTCTGTTTCACGTAATGGTTTTCTTTTGCAGGATCAAAGCAAGCAAGCCCGCCCGTCTTACCCGCACGGGTTGCCAATCGGAGGATTCGTGGCGCTGCCGGCGATATAATGAAACATAATTCCAACCCTGGGCCTGCCATTTATGTATACTGTCTCTAATAACGTTTTTTTTTTTTTTTTTTTTTTTTTTTTAACGAAATAATTATTCAAAAGGGCCTCGCTCTCGGATTTTAAAACCTAGATGTCGTAGAGAATCACTATCTCCGCAGTTCACAACATTCCATAACACGCGTCAATGCAATTGGCTGTGCTCAGGAGCCTTTCATATTAAGCAATGGCCTCCTGCTGTGCACACAGCAGGAGTCCATTGCTGTGTATGCATGGAAAAGACATCTTCTGCCAGCGCTGTGTTACCCAGTTCCCCCTCTTCCTCCATGCAAATCCTAGAAATCTACACAGTAAATATTTTTGGAATCGGAGCAACTACAACGTCTAATCAATATTTTTTAAAAATATTATTTGCCTCCGTTATTCGGAACCAAATGGACCTCACCCTCCCCTCACCGCCAATTATTATTTTGTCTACAATTCTTTGGTCAGCGGAAACATTCAAAATTACCATGCTCTTCTACCTAAACGACACCGAACGTTTTAGTTTTGATGGCACCGAGAGCACATGTGCGCTTCCTTGTACAAGTCTTGGAAAGTTATCTAATACTCATTTCGCTGTTACTTCACGAAAGTTTTGGCCATGAAAAGTTCGATTAGCTACTACGAAAGTAGATGATGGAACGTTTCTGCTCGCTTTGTCAGGTGAATGGTTTGAAACGACGGCTTATTCTGTTTCAATTGAACTTGAAGGAGGCGATTTTGCTATGTGAAGACAAGGATGTAAGTGCATTTCTTTGTGATATTTTGGCTGTCCTATCTCGAGTGAATTTCCTCGCTTAGGTACTTTCTGACTTATTTGAAAGCTAAGGCGTGATAGTATGACTCTTTTACAGTGCGTTTACCCGCTTGGGGTTGCAAAGAATGCCAACTTGATTGTAAGTCGGAAAGCAACCGAGGTGACTTCGTTCTCAAACTTGAAGAGAAAACGTAAGAAGAGGCCAAAACAAAGTGAATCAGAGGTAAGATGCAGCATTTTTCATTTTCTTAAGTTTGAAGAAGAGGTATTAAGTGGTGGTGTCTTTAGCAAGATACCAACTTCATCTTACAAGTAACAGCTGTGGTAAATAACGTTTGGAATTATTAGCTTAGGCATCAATGCGGTTCGCTGAAACTTGCTGCTGACAGTGCGCGTGTTCTGTATGACTCTGCTTTGCTTAACTCTAAAGTTCTTACTCTTGTTTGGTGCACTTCTTGTTTTGTAGATGTAAGTTTAAATCTCGCATCATCCACGATTTTCAAAGATATCCATTACAACATGAACCATATGTTATTCTTGATTCTTTATTCAAAAATTCATTGTATTTACCTGTGGAGAGTGCAGATAATTGGCTCTCTTGCAAAATAATTGTGACAGTGCATTGCTGTGGGAAAAAGGCCATTATTTAAGTTTGTATTCTGTCATGTAGCTGTCCAATTAAAAAAAAAAAAACAGAGAGGAAAAATGATTTTGTTATCAGAAACTTCAGTGACATCCCTTTCTCCAGAACACTGTAAGAGATTTGGTTGAATATTTGTTCTTTACAAACCCAATTATGACAGTTGCAACCTTTACTATCTCTATTTTTGTGACAACAACAGCAATACTCTCATTTTTCAGGAACCAGAGAATATTTCCCCAGGATCCAAGGCTGCAGAAAAGATCTTGCAATGGAGGAATGTTGATAGCCTTTGTTGGCTAAATTCTCTATTATCTCTACTTGTAAATAATGTCACTGTGACAACATCTCTGAGAAATCTTATGCAAAAATCAGACTCACTGGTAAGGACATTGACAGAGTCATTCAACCAGGCTCAAGAATTATCATCAACAAGCAAAGAACAAGCTGAAGTGATCTTAAAAGAAATCAGAGGGATGATTTGGACACATTTGCAGCCGAAGATGAAGTGTCAACTTGGAGTTAATGATAGTCCTGTTGCAGCTCTACCATTGCTGTTACAGGAAAATGATTTGGTGTCTGAGAGGTTTCTTCAAGTTTATCACTGGGAATTTAGGTGTTCTGCCTGTGGGTATCAACAAATTGACAAGTAAGATATACGCAACTGTCTAGGTTTTAATTGTACATTGTCGTGTAATTACAAGTTTTAACCAAAACTAAGTTTGAATAGTAAACTGTTTCTCTGAGAACCACAACAGTAAATAAATTGCTCTAGGAATTTTAGAATCTTGGTTTATTTTAAACATATGTTAATGACAAGAAAGTATGTGTAGCTGAGTTAATTGCCTCTTTTTCATGTTCTATTAGCACATGTTGAATCAAGTACATGGTATTTCATCTCTTAGCTTTTACTAAAGATATTTTCCATTGGGGAACGAAATACCCAAATTTCTCGGTTCTCATAATGGATCTCTCTGATTTTAAATATTTTTATTTCATTGTAGAAGGAAGAAGCATTTAGTCACTTTTCCAAACCTAGCAAAGGACTTCAGCTTGCAAAATCTGGGATTTACAAGGCCATGTTACAGATGTAATGCTCTTGATCAGGAGAGCAAACTTGTGTATGACAGGTATTGTGTATTTTATGTCTCTTTAGTGTGGGACTTCTAAGTCAATTGTGTTTGTCACTAAACTGCTTTATTTGCATTCTTGTAATGGGATAATTGTCATCCAAGACCGAGTCAAAAGTAGGGAAGAATTGAATTAGATTTCCCATGTGCTGCAGTTTGTGATTGGCTTATGAAACACAACCAATCAGATGCATAAACTATAACCAACTGCCACTCAGTCTTTCATGGAATTACCTTAGCCCTTAACTTTCCAACATTAATATGCATATTCTTTGCACTGTCCTCCATCCTTACCTTGTGATCTTTTCCTGTATTTTTGTGACTAAAATGTGTGTTTCAGGGTTGATACAACTGTAAGGACTCCATGTGATCTCAATTGAGTGGGAACTTTTCAATGGCTTTATACATCTCTTTTTCTTTCCCAGAATGCCTGATTGCATTTTTCTTCACTTCGAGCAAGGATTGAAAGGAGGGACATATGAAGATCTTGATTTTGATGGGGAATGTGGTCGCTATAGTTTCTCACAGTTTATTCAGTATAAAAGGAATCCAGATCACTTTGTTTGCTGGACAAAGGACCATGAAGGTACAAGGCATTTTAGTTCCAACTCCATAAGGTGTTCGTTTTACCATATTTCTTCACCTATAAGCTGACCTCGGCTATAAGCAGAGACCCTAAAAGTTAGAGACCTTCTGACAGACTTGTTTTGTCCAAAAGAAAAAGCAACACCATCGGCTAGAAGCCAAGAGCAAAATTCTCGATTGTAACCGGCCATTTGAGTGGGCGAACCTCAGAAAAAAATTGGGAAATGGCTCAATGAACACAAAAGCTAATGAATGAGAATAAACACAAAAGATAAAAAAGCAAATCAGTGAAGATGTAAATACTACTATGCAACTTTAGAAACACAACAATACTCTCAGTTACAGTAACCTGACAAACATTTCAATTGAGTATCTCTTTCGTCACAGTTGTTTTTCTCATCATGCCAAAAGCAGGCCGCTCTTCTTATACTATGGCTTCAAGATAAAAGTTATCGCAGAAGCTGAAGCTGTAGAAAACAGCTTGGAAAGTGTTCGAGATTATGGACTTAGCGAGTCCATGGTGCGTTGCTGGAGAAGAGACCAGGCAACTATTCTTTCTGCAAAATGTGCAAAAATGGGCTGTTTCACTCCCAACTGTCCTGAACTAGACGAACAAGCAATGGAGTGGTTTTCACATCAGAGAGACCAAATATTTCATTTGTAATGTGAAATGAGAAGGGTTTTTGCCGAGTTGAGTGAGATCGTCTTTCAATGCGAGGGAAGCAATGAATCTGATTGGTGGTCAGAAATACATTGTTGTCATGACAATTTTAAGCATGTCACATAAAGAGCGCTGCAGTCACAGAATTTATGGTCATTTCACATTAACATTAAATTTGTACTTGTTTTGAAATCCCAAACCCTCGGCTATAAGCCAAACCCCATTTCTTGTGAAAAAATCTCCCAAACTTTTGTGTCAAATACTGAAAAAATCGCTTGGCTTATAGGTGAAGAAATGCGGTATGTACTGTAATATAATCCACTTTTCAAAGGAAATATTGAACCGTGAATGAACAGTGATACCCTTTGCAAGTTCTATACAGCGTGATTGTGCTGGCTGTCATTAGATTCTGCTCTTCCCTTTTGATTTTTGTTTTTGTTTAAATTCTTGCAGGGAAAAGATGGATGGAATTAGATGATCTAAAATCACCAATCTGCAGCTGGAGTTCCTCACCACCAAATGTTCCTCTGTCAGAAGTGCATATTGCAGTTTGGGAAAAAGTGTCAGTTGTTATCAATCCACTGATTCCTCCTCCTAAATTTAAGGAGATCAGCAGAACAGAAGTGAAAACCAACCATAGTGCACAACCTACCCAGGACACAAGATTTGGAAAGATATCCTCAATGCCATTGTTAAGTATTGATTGCAGTGCAACCTTCGCTCCATCTCAAGATATCAACAAATCACTTTGTTCATCACCCCTTAATTCCCCTGCATTATCACCATCAAGGAGCAGAACAGTGTTAAATTTGTCACTCAAAACCAAAAGTGAGCAATTTGAACCTTACATTCCCAGGAAAAAGAGACTTGTTACCCAAAGCTCTCCTAACTCTCCTATATGTATTAGTAATTCAAAGTTGAATTGCAATGGGATTGCCCCACAACCATTTTTGACATGGCAAGAAGTCAAGGAACAAAACAAGAAGTTAAGTTTTGATGAATTGCAGAGTGACAGTGGATACTCAAGTCCAGCATCTGTAAGTTCATGTGGTAGCCTTGTGATTTGTCAGTCAAACAAGGATGTATCAGTTTATGAACACCAGGAAGGACCTCATGAAAATGGCAATGAAAAGCAAAATGTTGCTGGGCAGAACAATTATCCAAATGGCACAAATCTTGTTTCCAAGAGCCCTGATTCATCTTCACGTAGAAGGAGCAGTGATTTAGTATGCGAGGTAAATCCTCTTGACTTGGCAGATAAACTTGAACATCTGTTACCAGACTGTTTACTTGAGAATCCCAGGGATTCAGAAAAAAATCCCAGGGAATTAGCTGAGTGTAGGACAATAGATAGTAAGGAAACAAAGTTGGAGAACATTGCACAACTTTCTGCTCAACAAGATCAG